TAGAAATACATATTACGTGACAATTTTTTTTAAAATATATATGTGAACATTCGACTTTTGGTATATTTTTAACATAAAAGTCTATGAGAAAACTCAATTTTATCAACGTTACATTCATAGGAAATTAAAAAACGTAAATAATGTAAGAGGTTCATATCGAATCCTCGATCTAAATAAAAAAATAAAACGATAATGTTCTGTGAAGTATACGTTTCACACGATCCTTGAAATATGCCGGTACCTTAACTCGTGTTCATACAGCGTTACCCATGACCAGGGTGGATTGTCGTAATGGCATACACGCGCCGTGTCTATCGGCGGACAAGGAAAGAGGGCATAGAAAACTCGCAGAACTGCATCATCCAATCAAAGGGACGAATCGACTAAGACTAGATGGTGGGAGAAACGTAGGGATTGGTAGACGACTACGATACATGTTTGTAGAAGGGGATGTGTTCGTGCTGCGTAAAGCACACGAAGGGAGAGAGGGGAGAAGAGAAATACGAAGCAGCATGCCCGGATATCGTGCATGGAACTAAGAGCCACTCTGATCTCCAAACCAAATAAAAATGCATATATAGTTTGTATTTTATATTTATGTTTTATAAACAACTAAATATATTAAAGCTTACTAATTATTTGTTTATTGCAATGTTCAAAATTGTAACATCATCAAGAATGAACTCTCTCAAGGTAATTGCCTTATATTATCAAGTGAAATATAATATCTCATTTCATACAATTAAATATTAAGCCCAATGTATAAATATCAATGATTGTTAATCTTTTCAACAAAAATAGATATTTCTCATAATCTTATTCAAAAAGTTATTATGAAGTGTAAATACTAAATTTTGCATGTACCATTAAACGGCAAAAAAAGATTTGCAAAACATAAAAATCGCTATTCTCTCGGGCTATAATTAAAACTTGAAGTGTTTCCTTCGAATTAAAATCTGTTGACGATCACTTTTATTAGATTCATGATATTTATGGTGTTTATAATAAACAGTAAGCGATAGTGACGTGTAGACGCCAATGGTAATGAAATGACAATTTTGTTTGTTATCCTACATACACGATTACCTATCAACTTATTACTAATCACGAGGTCTTTACAGATAACCCAACGTTCATAACCTATCATGTAGACTCATTTCATTTCTCTTGCCTGTTCGAGTAAGCCATGAATAATCGTTATATAATTCTTCAGCAACACGTATTAATTTGATCATATTGAGTCAGTAAAAGTATTTTTTGTTTGCCAAGACGAAATAAAATTAGGTAAAGGTAAAGTAAATCATTGATCGAAAATACTCAGAATCATGTGATACTAGATTAGACTGAAAATATCGTATTTAAGCACGTATTTATCGTATATTATAATAACGTTTTCATTAAATTAAAGCTAAGTATAAGTGATATAGAAATTAATTAAGCACAGAAAGCAAAATATTGTTTCGAATCAAAAATATATTAACCCATTATTCATATTTAATAAATGATACTTGAATCTTATTCGAAATTCCCGCCTTTTTCTTCACTTTCATGTTCTCCACAATATACATGCGCTTGCGTCATAGAATTTATGAATCCTAATATTCATCGTAGTGATCACATAATTACATCAATGCATCAATTACAAATGGGAATAAATTTCACTTATGAAACTACCTCAAATCTAGTAATTTAATGCAATTGGAATGCAACAAGAAAAAATAAATAAATACTGCTACAAATTTTTATATTTTAAACAAACAAAATGTTATTAAGTATAATGATGATGAGGATGTTTGAATCTATTTCGAAGAAGTATAGTTAAAGTTTCCACGTGACATACTATTGCCGCTGCGCGAAGAAGCCAACTTTCTACCATTGAGACCGAAAGCGTGGATGATACCCGGCATTTTCGACCACGAATTTCACCTTGCAACTTTTATAATGGCAATTGTACAATGTATTATTGAATAAAAACAACCAATTCCTATCACTGATGCTGAATTAATGATCCAATTTAAGATGAAAAATTGCAACCATGTTTTCTCGAAGGTTCGTAACACTACGCGGTATGCTACGAAAGAACAGGGAGGCAGGAGAGACACGGGTATATAATACATGGCGTTGCTGCTGGCTGCGCGCGTGGGGTTTTCGATGGAAAGAGAGAACCGAACGCCGACAGAGTCGGCGGCAGAGGGGTAGAGAGATTGAGAAATGAGAGGGAGAAAGAGAGATAGAGAGAGAAGCAAAGCGAGAAAGGAAACCTTCAGCGCGGTGTTTATGCACGCAGATCGGTAAACAATTTCAGAGCAACACGTCGACCTGAAAGAGATATGTGTTAGTCTATCGATCGTCCGTCAGACACGATTAACCCTCTTACAACGAATTATCGATCAATTACGACATAGAGAGTGAGAGAGAATAAACGCGCGCGCGCGTTTTGTGTGTGTGTGTGTTGCGTGTGTGTGAGAGAGAGTGAGTGAGTGAGACAGAGAATGAGAGGAGAGGAAGGAAGGAGAAGATGAAACGAGCAAGCGAGAGAGCACAATGAACGCGGGCTTGGTTTCGGGCGCCATAATGGAAATCCACAGCGGTGGCGGTGGCGGCAGCAACGGCGCTCGGAAAAATGCGCGGGATGCTCACTTTTCCTAGCTATAACAGTGATATTCTAGATAAAAAAATGGCGTCCATCTTGCACAAAGAATGCCAAGCAACATGAATCGTGGTTTCACCAAAATTTACAAAACCTTGGACAGTTATAGAAAGCTTCGAGGATGCATAACATGAGAACGTAATGGAAATGAGCACATGGCGCTAGTAGTTAAGATATCCCGCCTGAATTTCACATTTTATTTTAACAAAATATAAGCAAATGGGAATATTGAATCTGATATTAACTAGATCGGTAATTATAGACGGCATTGTAACAACAGGGGTGATCAACCGAACCATCGTGCTCGTGGCAGCCACGCGAAATACGATGGCGTCCCTCGAGCTTTATCAAGAAAACACTGCGATTACGTAGTCATTTTTATATCCTGAGAAATAATACACAGAAACGAACGTGTTTCTTAACGTTTGGAAAATATGAAGTCCAATGAAAATGCCGGCCGGCATCCTATATCCTCTTCCATGTCAGTCGGTTGAAACGACCACTCAACAGCCCGCCCACCCGTCTGTCCTCGAGAATATAACGATATCACGAGGAGAATATAAATTTACGATTCCGCAATACAAAACAATAATATCTACGTAAAATACATAAAGGAAATCAAATCGGGAGAATATTCACGAACTTTCGTAAGCTTATATAAATACGACTCCGAAATCGTAGACAATGCCGTGATCAAGCAGCGTGGCGCGGAAGCATGGTATAAGCCGGCGTGTACGTGCTTTCACGAGTATACGTGTATGCTTACGTACAATCACGAAAAATGCCGAAAAAAAGGTACTTGAAAAATCAAGTGGGAAAAACGCGACAACTTACTTCGGCTGGCCTCTTCATTCCTTTGATCTCACACTTCGCGTCTCCGGAAGCCTTGTCGTTCTCAGTCACCTTCTCCACAGCGACCTCGTTGTTTTCCTTGCTGCTCATGGTGGATACGTGCGTTGAGTAAGATGCCTGCGTGTCCGCTTACAAACGATGGAAAAGATTAGAGCAATGTGTACACGTAACAAAACTCCGTGCCCTCGCGCGGCGTCGGTTTCCGGCGAAATGCCCGAGAGAGCAGCGTCGTCAGGCGAAAACCCAAGAGGCAGAGGGGGGAGAAAGAGGGGAAAGGAGGGTGAGACAGAGAGCAACCAGTCAGGAGTGGAGAGTGTCGTGCACTGACGACTGTGGCGCGAATAGCGCAAAGCGGACTACTACCCGGTCTCAGCTCGCTTCTAGCATATCCAACCTGGCTTTGTTCAAAAATGAAGATGGCGCGGGTTTGAAACTCGATAAATGCCTGATTGGTTGAAATCATAATATCCTTTTTCGACGTGCCACTGCACCTAATTGGAAAGGTTATAACACTACATAATCTTTTATTATTTCTTACAAAAGTTTTCCACGTAATCCATCCACCTGACGTATAAATAAAATTAAATCCTGCGGAGGACGAGGGGTTCGAGAGTTCGTGGCCTGAATTTGCCGTCTGGTTCGAGGCTATGTGACTCGATTCAAATAAGCTTTGGCAGTACGAAACATTTACATCCTTTTTTTATATTGTTTTTGTAAAAAAACTCAGAATACATGCAAAGAAAATTGAAATCCTAGACAAAACGAATAAATATTTCTATATATTAATTTAAAATAAATATTAGAAGTAATATAGTCTAAAGATCATGGCGGGAATTATCCTATAGATAAAAGAGCCAAGCTTTTTGAATGACGCAGACGCACACTTGTCACTCAAAATTTGACATGAGATGTATTGCTTTTTAATTTCTAAGATTTTTACCCGTGAAAAGTATTTTTCAAATATGTTAAATATAATTAAACTTGTTAAATTAAAACTAAAAATTGAATTAAATTAATCTAATTAATTACACAAAAAATGATTATTCATTTGTGTAATTAATGATTTATGACAAACATAACATTATTATATATCAAACATTGTGTATTTTTTTAATACATTAATTATTACTTTTTTATTTCAAAAGATAATCAGTTGAATATATAAAAGAAATTTTATTCTGCTATAATAGATAATAAATCGTGAAAATTCACAAATTATTATAAAAGATACTAATAAAAGAAACATTATAACATAATTGCTGTTATTGATTGAACGTCTTATATATTAAACCAATTTTGACGCTGGCTATTAATGGCGTGTATGCAATCGAAATTTTGTGTTTGAAACTATTAAAAATAGTTATATTCCTTTTTATCATAATTTCGAGTGGAAAAATTTTGTAACATAATATCAAACAGCAAAATATTAATGTAAAATATTTATATATTTAATAATAAAAAAGAATAAATTCCGGATTTTTGGTGTAATATACAATATATTGCGCATGCGCAATTTCCTGGTCAGAGTCAATTTCCGCTTAGAGTACATTTCCTTTTCTTTCCAAGTATTCAAGATGGTAGGTACATTTTCAATTGAATAAGTATGTAATTTATCTACGATTTTAATCATAATCATATTGCAATGTTACTTTTAACGTTAAACATTACTATGTATATTGCATTTGTGAAATAGTAGTATAAATATTTCATGGGTTTTTCAAATAGTAATAACATAACCTCCAAAAGTAACAAGTTTTATTGTTTTTAAAATTGAATACAAAACTTATCAATACGAATAAGGAAAAAATAATTTGAAATTAGTAGAAATGAAGAATTAATTTAAGCTTCATTTTAATTATATATTTACAAATGAGGATCTTACTATTCTCTCTAATACTCTAATCTTTTATTGTATTCTTTTCAGGTAAATGTACCAAAGCAAAGACGCACTTTTTGTAAAAAGTGCAAAGTACATAAACCCCACAAAGTAACACAATATAAAAAAAGCAAAGAACGTCATGCATCACAAGGTAGAAGACGTTACGACCGTAAACAACAAGGTTTTGGTGGACAAACCAAACCTATATTCAGAAAAAAAGTATATTTTTTAAATATCATTATTTAATATCAATAATATTAATATAATTGTGATTTTGATATTAATTGTATACTTTTTATTTAGGCAAAAACTACCAAAAAGATTGTGTTAAGAATGGAATGTACTGAATGTAAATACAGGAAACAAATTCCTCTTAAAAGATGTAAACATTTTGAATTAGGAGGCGACAAGAAAAGAAAGGTATTTGACATAATATTTTACATATTAATTAATTAATACTAAATAAATTAAAATGAAATATTCTTTTTCTAGGGACAAATGATTCAGTTCTAGGGTGGAATTGTGTGTTTACTTTTTATGTATACTTAATAAGAAATGAAATAAATCTCTTGAAATTTGTATAGCTATTTATTTTATTAACTAAATTTTATAACGTAAAAATATTTCACGTATTTAATGTAAGAATATAACTAAATATTTAATCTCCTTTATTCTCACCATTATCTGCAGATTTCAGCTTGGAAATTATTTGCTGGGAATCACTGTTAATGAAATAAATAATGAAATAAATAAAAAAAATAATAATGGTGTTAATGATTTTAATGAATGATGCATGAAACTTCATTGACATTAATTATCATTTCATTTATTAAACTTTAATATATATTAGTTAATTTTTTTATTATTGCACTTTACCATAAAGTTAAATTTTAAAACATGAAAATCTTAAAACATTTTAAAACACTTACTCTAAAATAGACGAATCCAATCCTTCTTGTTCCATCTTTAATTTGACAGCTTCTTTTGGTACACCAAAGTGTACCATTTTTAAATATTTTTCATAGCGTGGATCTCTATTCACTGCTCGATTTTCGATCTGCTCTTCAAATTTATCTTCTTTATTACTATCAGTTTCATCTATTTTGGATATATTTTTTTCTTCCTGCTTATTATCATTATTTTCTACAGCATTTTTTGTACTCTGGTCTTGTTCCAAACCAGGAACAGATGATAACTGTAAAAATATAAATTACTGAAAATTATAAAAGTTTTTTTTAAATAAATTTATTTGCATAAGTTGTATAAATAAATAGTTACATACCCAAGACTCTAAAATTTCTAATGAAGCTTCTATCCTTTGCAATTTGTATTCAAATTCTAATAATCTTTCTTCGCACGACAAGGTAAATTTATTAAGAAATGTTACAGTATGTACAATAAAATGATTAATAAAAGAAATTGTTCTTTTTTGATTAATTGGTGGTACCTGACAATAAAAACGAAAATGTCTAAAATTGTCTGTTATTATATATAAGCAGTAGAAAAGAAAAAATGTTGAAATCCAAAATCTACACCTTTGTACAATCGATAGTTGGTTCGATTATTGGTATTTTGTAATCATTCATTGTATGTTTCAGATGTTATTTCTTGTATTTGTTGTCTAACTGTCAAATATAAACTTTCAACGCATTTCTTCCACGGATCATGTAGGATTCACGGAAGGATATATTCACTGAAAGTCGAAATCTTTCAGCTGTAGTGAATACACACTACACGTCTCCTGTACGCGATAACTCTGCGGATAACAAAGAAACAGCGGGATATTTAAAGGTGTATACATTACAAATTATTTGAAAATTCATAAATTTATAAATATCAAGTAAAAATAATTTAAACAGATCAATTTTGCTGTAACTTTAAGAAGTACCTTTCAGTTTGTAACTATGTGTGTTATACAAATAGTTGATATATAATGATCTTATAGTTGAATTCCGATTGATAAATGTATAACAATTAACGTAACTTTAATTGTAACCTAAATATTCGTCATATAACCGATATCACACGTAAGATTTTAAAATGAAGATATTTTTTTATTAGTGATTATTCTTTAAATTGTAGGTACTTTTAATTTTAATCAAGTTTTAATAGACAATATTATTTGTTGTAAGTCGATAAAGCAGAATAATGCGAGGATGGTGTGAACAAGAACTTTTTTGTGCAGGTTGGATTTGGAGATTGGATGTAACGCGGTACGAAACGCGAGTGATCTGTTGTCAGTAGGAATTAACTGTATGGATATTACCGCGAAAATAAATATTTTTTAAAGAATGGATTCTCCGCCTGACCTGGAAACAGTTTACCAGGCTGTATATTCTTTATATAATAATTCAAATCCTTCGGGGCCAGGAAAAACATCTCAATGGCTGGACGAATTACAAAAATCAGTAAGTTATTTGTTAATTTTTTTTAATTGATATATCCCCTTTTGTTTTTACATGCATTACATTTTCCTAAATTTTTCTTGTGCTTTATTAATAACTGTGTAATATTCAAACGTACAAAATTCTTATTAAAAAATATAAACAGATCAAACAGGTTCTAACCTTATGTTAAAATAATCTTGTAATACTCTTAAAATCAAACTTGTATATACAATTTCAAGGTCGATAAAAAAAGATAAAAAACAAAAGAGAATATGTATAAAAGAATATAATAAAAAAGAAAATATGTTATTATGTTATATATAAATTGTGGTTTTAGGTATTTGCGTGGAAAATAGCAGATGAAATGCTACAGCAGAAACGAGATGTTCAGTCTTGTTATTTTGCTGCTCAAACAATGCGTACTAAAATACAACTATGTTTTCAAGAATTACCTGTAGAAGCTCATACTTCTTTAAGGGATTCTTTAATGAATCACATATCACAAATTAATGAACATACCAATTCTGCTATTGTTACACAGGTTTATATATTTTTTTTTAAAGATGTCTCTTATATGTGTATTTTTTTATACATTACCACAATAAAAAAGATTATTATTGTAGTTGTGTCTAGCGCTAGCAGACCTTGCGTTACAAATGTCTTCTTGGCAGAAACCAGTTGTTGATTTAATTCATAGATTTGGAGGATCAACTGCTAGTTTATGGCCATTACTTGAAGTAATGACAGTATTACCAGAAGAAGTAAATTCAAGATCTCTTAGGTATATAAAAACGGAATGAAAATTTTAATTATAATCTACTAATAAATAATCTTTCATATATTGTATATTTATAAATAACTTTTTTTTAAATTTATACTACCCAGATTAGGAGCCAATCGCAGACAATATATATTACTTGAACTTAATGCAAGTGCAGATACAGTGACAGAATTTTTAGTAAGTAAACACGAAATTATAATTAGGAAGTTAGTTTAATAAGAAAACAAGTTTTTTAATCGTAGTTAATTTTTATTATATTTTCAGAAAATGTGTCTAAAAAATGGTGGAGAGAATGTACAAATTCGTGTTACAATTCTTAGATGTTTTACAAGTTGGATCGCAGTACATGCTATACCTCTTGTACCTACAAGTGATGTTATTATATATACCCTTCAGGTATGTATTTCCAATAATAAAAATTGATAACTTTAGATGAAGTTCAAATACAGAATCATACATTATTGTTTAGATACTTGGAAATCATATGATTGGATCACAATTACATGAAGCAGCTGCAGACTGTATATGTATGATTTTGCAAGTTTTGGAAGAAGATAGTAATAGCAATCGGGATAATAATAGTGAATCTAATATACAGCTGCAACAGTTAGAGTTATTTCTGTTTACTAGTGTAATGTCCCTAGAACAGCCGTACCATTTATCTGTTGCACATGAAGATATGGACAAGTAAATTTTATTTCTTTTATGTAATTACAGATGTGATAGAACTCACAAGGTTATCTTAAGTATTTACTTAGTCATTATATCAATTATTTAGATCGATAAATTATTGTCGGATTTTTACGGAGTTAGCGGAAACTTTCTTGGAAACCATGGTAAATGGTTGTTTAGGAGGAAAACAACATTATGCTATCAAAATTCTTGACCTTGTCCTAGTATGTGTTGGGCATCATGATTATGAAGTAGCACAAATAACTTTCAATTTGTGGTATCGTTTATCCGATATTTTAATCCTCTACCAAAAAAACAGCGAAGATCTATATGCAGTGTTCCGGCCTCATATTGAAAGATTAATTGGAGCATTGTGCAGGCATTGTCAAATGGAACCAGATCATGTTAGTAATTATGGAACTGATTCAAGTATTCTTTTGTGAAGATATTCTATGCATAAGTCCTTTTTACAGTTGGGTTTGGTGGAAGAAGGAGCTGGTGGAGAAGAATTTGCAGACTTCAGGAATCGTGTTTCAGATTTAATAAAGGATGTTGTATTTGTAGTTGGAAGTAGTCATTGTTTTCGACAAATGTTTTCATCCCTGACGGGTGGACCAGGACCACAGGGTCAATCTAATCATGTACCTACATGGGATTCAACTGAAGCTGCTCTATTTGTAATGCAAGCAGTTGCAAAAAATATTTTGCCGTAAGTTTAAAAATAAATTTTTATATACAATAAAATTATTGTTTTATTAAATAAGATTATTACAATTCGATATTTATCATAATATTTATTTATAGAAAAGAAAATGATGTAGTGCCGAAAGTAGTAGAGGCTATTTTAAACTTACCAGAAAACACTCATATAGCTGTACGTCATACAAGTATACTTTTGTTGGGAGAACTTTGTGAATGGATAGAAAATCATCCACAGTCCTTAGGTAATATTCGTAAATAATTATAACTTATATTTTAGTCCTTCCTTTTCATAACTTGTAATTAGTTTGTAATTGTTGTAGAACCTGTTTTAAATTTTCTTTTGACTTGTCTAAGTCAAAAGGGTTTAGGAAGTGCAGCTTGTGGCGCATTATTAAGTATATGTACCGCTTGTCCATCACATATGGCTTCCCACTTTCCAGGTTTATTGCAAATCGCACGTTCTCTTGACAGTTTTGCTATTAGTAATGATGCCGCTATTGGTTTACTTAAGGGTAAGATAATATATTTATTGTATTTATATACAATTTTAGAATAATACAATATAATGTTTACTATCTCTAAACAGGAGTAGCAATAATTATGTCAACTTTACCACGTGAAGAACTTACACAAGCTATGAAAGAATTATGTTGGTTTCAAGCAAGACCGTTATGTGAAATTATGGAACGTAGAATTCCAATTGAAGTAGGAACAAAGACTGATCCTGTAGTATGGTTAGACAGATTAGCTGCTATATTTAGGCATACTGACTTGGACCCTCCAATTGAGGATCGATTTGAACCTCATCCTTGTCAAAGCGCTGTTACCGAAGTATGTTTTATAATTTAAAATATTACTTAAACTCATAATAATATATTGTACATAATAATATATTGTGTTGAAATTATTTTTATATATACAGATGTGGCCAATATTATCAAACGTATGCACAACATATCAATATGATGCAAAAGTGATGGAAAGGTGTTGTCGTTGTTTAAGATTTGCTGTTCGTTGTGTAGGAAAACATTCCGCCCATCTCCTTGAGCCACTTGTAAAACAGGTACTTACAGCAAATAAATTCTAGATTGTAGATTTTTATTAATTGTTTTATGAGTTTCCAGATTGTGCAATTATACGCAGCTCATCAACATAGTTGCTTTCTGTATCTTGGTTCGATATTAGTTGATGAATACGCTACAGATTCGGAATGTGTCCCTGGTTTGTTAAAAATGCTGGAAGCTTTTATCGGACCTACGTTTAATATTCTTCAACAGCAAGATGGACTAAAAAATCATCCGGATACAGTAGATGATCTATTTAGATTATGTGCCAGGTACTTTTTATGAATAACACAGTAATACATCCATTTTTGAAATGTAAAAATAATATTATTTTTGATAACAGGTTTCTTCAAAGAGCTCCAATACCTTTCTTGTGCTCGGTCGTTATAGAGAGCATAATTGACTGTGCCTTAATGGCCTGTAGCTTAGATCATAGAGATGCAAATGTTTCAGTAATGAAATTCTTTTATGATCTTTTGCACTGTGGTCGTAACAATGAGGTAACTTAAAATGAAATTTTGTAACTTAATAGTAATGAATTTGAATTAGTAATTTTATCTTTTTGCCAAGAATCGGACAGATTATACATTACGTCGGGAATTAGTACAAAGCATATTAAAAGAAAAAGGACAAACTTTAGTCATAAGGCTACTTCATGCATCTGTGTTTTCCTTATCATCGTACATGTTATCTGACGTAGCAGATGTTTTAAATGAACTTTCTGTAACTAATAGACAAGTAAGATATTGATTGTCAATAATTTTCTGTCTATTGAACGATTCAATATATTTTATTATATTTCACTTTACAATTAAAATATTATTTGTTATTTAGCTATTATCCAAATGGTTGGAAGAAGCTATTAAGACAATGCCATCACAAAATGCAGGTGGTTCTCCCACAGCACAACCTGAACAGCTGTTTGAATTTCATAATACGGTTGTAAGGTATAATAAATAATTTTTAATATTGTCTATATTTGAAGTACAGAAATTTCGTATAATTTTTCTGGCTTTCAGAGCGGAGACAGCAAAATCTATAAATCATGCCTTACGTAATTTTGCACGTTTATATCGCTGATACATTTTAATTTAAAAATTAAGGTCAAAAATGTCAAAATTATAAACAGTAAAAATCTTCCAAAATCCTTCATTTAATTGTTATAATTGAAGGTATTCAAAAAAAATGATTATTATGAAATGGTAAGTCTATGCTGTATAAATGTATTAGCAAAAGTTTTAAATACTTTTAAATACTTGTTTACTATCTACACATTCCTTCACAAAGTATGTAAAATGGATAAATATAAGTCAATACAATGTGTCTTATTACATATATTTCTTAATTTTACATACAAATATTATATTTGATAACTTTTTTTAACATGTATTTATGCTACTAAAAATGGACTAAATGCTATTAAACATGGAATTTTACGTACTGCTCACTTTTTAATTATTTACGTTATAGTTTTATTGCATTTATTTGTTTCTTGTAATCTATGAGTATATGATATGAGCTATAAAGAAGACTATCCAAATTACCTATTATATTAGGTATATATCTAGTCAACTATTTGAAATAACATAACACATACTTTGTAGATAAAGTGCAGGTAGTAAACATTGAAAAATCAGAGTGATTATATATTTTTGTGCTTTCCATTCTATTTACATAAATATAGCAATGATATTGATGCTATTAAATTACATAAAAAAGGATACAAAATATATAATATTCGACTTGTTACTTATTAAAATTATTATAATAGGTTGTATAATATTATTCTACATTTCTGTTTTTAATGTTGTAACAATTTTAGTATAAGCTGACACATTCACGAATTTTTTTATATGATTATAATAATAAAGAACAGACTTTGGAAAAGGAATTTTAGCAAACATCTAAATAAAATGTAAAACTATTAAAGAATAGATAAATAATATGATAATAGTATAAATCATCTATGCATTCATATTACAAGAAATGAAATACGTATATGAGTTTTACGTGATAAAAAATAGAACTTATTTATATTTCTTTTTCACATGTCTCGCAGAATATAATTTTATATACATATAGATCATATTTAATGAAATGTGTTATGTGATGATATTGGAAAACAAAATTGTATCCTATATTCTCATTGTATGAACAGACATTTGAAAGTAAAGCGTTTAATAGTTCTAAATCACATTAATGTTTTTATCACTTTGCGTCTTGAAATAAAATTCTGATCACAAATTCTGAATCAAAGCAACAGATAATGATGCAACTCATACAATGAAAACAAATAAAATCTATATACATTTTACACAATGGTTAACTTGTACAAATAATTTACATATTGACTTCTTATAAATTGTTAATGTACAGATAAAATATTAATGAAAATAAGTATTGATATTAATAAAAAAATCAATTATGATGTAAGATGAGAACAATTAAACTGTAAGAATATTTTAATGATCAGCATTATTTTTAGTATTTATACCATCATTTTATGATAATAAATTTCTAATACATACTTTTTTCACTTTAAAATAATAACTGAAACAATAAAGAAATTAGCAATATGTAATCTATGTAATAAAATAGAAACTGAAAATAACGTATGTATACTTATACTCACAAAATAATACTAAATCTTTTAACCAACGTTAAAACAGTATAATACGACATGAAGCATAACAACAGCATTCTATAAGTAAAATTTATGATCAATGATTATTAATGTTAGGCAAATAATTGTTGCAATTTTTGATAAATAATTCTGACACATAATAAATATTCAGATAAACATTCTGATAATTGAATATCGAGAAATATCGCTAGAATTTTGTAATTTAATTTTTTATTAAAAAATGTGATTGATAAATTTTTTGTTATAAAAATAATATATATATACATTTGGTACCAAAAACAGGTATTCGATAATTCTAGCGACATTTTTATGATTCAGATTCGGATGCCTTCTTGAGACATTGTCAGCAATCTTAGGATCTGAGTCACTGAACAGTTGCGTTATGAGTCACACACGGTCGAACCTTGTTGGTTGAGAAATTGGTTTCTAACAAAGGAATGTTGTTGTAATGCAATCAAATCAGTTATATGGTCAATAAAGGTTTGTTACCTGCATTAGAATTTCGAATTTCATTCTCAATCGATTTTGCAAATAAGAAAAATAAAGAAAACATATAGTGCAATATTATTTTAATAGAAAACTTTAACAAGGCATTAAGTAAGCTGATACTCTCACCTAGGTTATCAGCTAGGCTTGCTGTGATTATTAAAATACAATAATCACAGCAAGCCTAGTTTTATTGCCTCGCAGAAATGTCATTTACAAATGTAACGATCACTAGCATCCACATGTACCATCTATCAATAGAAGGGCTCAACCATTGACTGATGAATACCTCTACATGCATATACCGAGGCGTATTGTTAACCAATATCGTCTTTCATGTTATGAGTTTTCGTGTGCTCCGCAGTACCATTCACGACTTTCTCCGATACGATACATTATGACCACTTTACCTAACATTGAATTGGACGAAACAATTTCTCTTGCTAGCTAGAAGGGAAAGAAAGACTGTAAAAGCTCTACGAGTGTAGCTTATTATACCAATGAACGCTGCCATAATAGGCATAACGTAACTGTACACATGCCTCGTAATAGTGTCCCAAGATATTTTGTATATCACCATTTCCTCTGTCTGGGAAATAGACTTATAAAAACCCTAATTTACTTATAGACTAAACAGTAACAGAAATTGTTATATTCCTTTTGTTGAGTTATTCTTCTGTTAACATTTACATATTTCAACAATGCTCTATTACTTTCTATTTTTAAACGATTCTGTTTAACTTACAAATTGGTGATATTTAAAGGAAATATTTAGGCAAAATACAAAAGGATTTTTGTAATATTAACTATTTCATTATAATTTTCCCCAGATATATCCATTGTTGTTAAAATATTGATCAAAATGAAATAGAGGTTTTATAGTTTCTTAAGAAAACTATTCAAATAAGGGAGGATTGATCCACGGCATTGATGCATTGCAAAGAACCTAAATTCTATCTTATCGCAGCGATAATGATGTTACTCAAATTCTTTTCCTACTGGGCCATGTACTACATGACGTGTAGTACTAACATTTGCTCGTGCAGAATGCAGCATGGAACTATCGCTGAATTCGCCATCTCTCATCGACGGTAACGGGCAGCAGCGCGTTGCTGGGCAACCAGACAGTCAGACTGCTGTCTACCGATCTGCCAGGGGCGCGGAAGGCTGCGACGAGACGAGAAGAGTGTAGACGCGAGTGAAGGAGAGAAGAATCGAACAAAGATAGTGCGAGAGGAATGAAACGGTGGGGGCCATCGGGTGTAAAACAGGTGTAGAGGGAGTAAGGTCGTTGCTGGAGGGGTAACGCGACCATTTGACCGTAGGATGAGAAGAACGAAAGCTCTACCATAGGAAAAAAAAAAAAGAAGAAAAAGAAGGATGGAAAGAGAAAAGGGTAAATGTGTATATAGTAGAGTAGAGTAGAGAGAAGTTTCGAACGGGTAGTGCGTAGTGGTGGTATTCGACATCGCGATAGTGGGGAAGCAGTGGCACGATGGTGTATCAGAAGGATCGGGGTAAAATTGGTGGGAAATGGTGCGGCGTCAGGGGCGGCCGGGCTAGACGAGTCGAGGTCAGTTATCCGCCACGCCCGACGCCGACGCCGTCGTTCCGGCGTACCGCATTGCATTTTCGGCGCCACTACTGCCGCTGCGTAGCACTGCATTGCCAATGTTATTTTTTTTTCCTCTTTCTTTCGTTCTTTCTTCCTCTTTTTTCTATCTCTCACTGTTTCTTCTAACGTATCATCATTCTTTCCTTATCTTCCTTTCTTTTTCTGTTTTCCTTCATTTGTTATTTCAAAAATGCTCGTTACGAAAATTTTCTTCTACTTTCTCCTTGTCCTTCGTTCCTTGCTGCAGGTTTGCTGCAGGTTTGCTGCCTATTTGTTCATCACTGACTTCTGAACTACGGACTGTATCGAATTTGCGCAATTTACATAATTATTTTGCAACGGAATCGATCAGATAGGGTTACCCTACATTGGTTACGGGATTGGTTACGAAAACTGGTACGGTAGTCTCTACCGTAAATTTGTAATCGTCTTCCCAACGAGAATTTTCATTGAAACCTAGCCGTTTGAATCATATATCATATATTGCCTTCGTGCATAAATTTTAAATTGAAGAAAAACGGAATTAAAATGAAATGTCGTGCGCATGTGAGAATTTTTCAGCTTTAAGTAAATTATTATACAATATTTTAATCGTTATAAAAAATATGTGCATCTATATTTTTGTACATAAAACGATGCAGGGAGTTGTTGATATTAAGATAATTATGACGTGGTAAAAAGCATATATAGTTTTTAGAACATTCACAAAAAGCTGTCTCACGATTGTCCAGTCGAAGTCTGTTAAAATTGTTTCAAAGAACGAGCATCATGACGATTGTTTAACGTTGCACTCGAGTTTGAAAGAAATTAATAAGATATTAATAATAAAATATTAATAAGATAAAAACGTTACTTTATCTCAGAAGTACCTACAAGTATGTAATTTTTTTACACGACAAAGAAAAAAGTGAAAACCAATCTTTTCTGACAAATTAAAAAATTAATTCTTTTAGTTAATTTCAGTAAAGTAATTAAAAAAAAATCATTCTTATATAATAGATCTTAAAAAGACAACGAAAGAGGTTTTTGTAATTTGAGTTCTTTTTAAAAAAAAATTCAGTTTCAATTAAAAAATATTAACAATGAATGGTGAATGAACGAATCTTCGTTTGTAAGTGTTTGTAAGTATCAAATCAAAGAGCTGTAATTTCTTGGAAATTTACTTAGAATCTAAATTTTGCTACGTTGATTTTACGCTTTTTCTTCGTTTCCTTTATCTGATATACCTTTAATACTTTTTGAAAATGCATGAAGAAATTCCCTTCCCAAGAGGTTATAAATGATTTGTTTGAAAAAATTTCTTTGATTTCTGTGAAATTATAGCCTCCCAAGATCTACGTGCGTCGAAATTAATATACTGCTCGCTCGATTTACATTTTTGCTACGCAGTTAATTTCTTTCAATCTGCCTTGCTTTTTAATAAAAGAACTTTTTTATTCTTTTCTAGTCATTTTTCTACAGCTGTAAAAGATACAGGAAACAGTCGACTACATCTAAATCCGTGATTCAATGCCCGAAACACGCTGCTAAGGAAATACATATGTACGTTTCTCACGTATGTTTTCAGTACGGTCAGCTGGTTCGGTTTGATACTATGTTCAGGGAAATGTATACGCGTGGCAGTTGCGTAGAGACGAAGTTGCATACATGGGTAGAGAAGAAAGAAAGAAGAAAAACGCTATATATGAACGCGTGTACGCGACGCGACGTTTCATCGTGCGATACGGAGGAATGGTTCAAAGGCAAGGCGGGCCGGTGATCGCACTCAAACGCACGACAAATTAACTTCCGGAGAGAGACGAGTGTGTGCACTTGACTTTGAATTATCCGCTTAAGCGGTACAAAAAGGCGTACTTCGGCTCATACTTTCTTCGTTGAAATGAAAGTTTTCGTATTAAGGTACTCGTCGTGCTGTAGCCTCGCGAAAGTATATGTTTTCAAATTTATTCTGGTTCATTGATCCGAGATGTGAGATAAACTTTAATTATAATTTTGCCATTTGTATTGCAATATCAATTTATTTGCGAATGAAGTCGAGAACGTTGCTCCATTAATTGAAATAATAGACAAAATCTTTGCCCAATATCGATGATAACGCGTTACTCGCTAACAAACCCGATTATACGTAAAAGTAGGGTACGTTGATCGATGAATACGGCCCTGCAGACAGTAAGTATCCCTTTCCCCCACCAATGTCGGGCTAACCACCAAACCCTCACCACATCTCCCATCTGCTTGGTACGTTATTGGCACCGACTGATGGCCGATGCGAATTTACCGTGGCTTGACAGAGAGGGGTACTAGCAGGAATCGAGATAAAGCATAGGGAGAATAAAGAATAATGAAGGAGAGACAAAAAAGAATAGAGGAGCATTTCGCACGTTTTCGCTGCACGCTGCCCCGAAATAGAGGAAAGAATTCAGAAAGAAAATTCTAAATGGCAGAACAATTCAATTTGAAAATAGCATCGGCGTAACAAAGCTCACTTTGTGCGTGAAAATTTCCGGATTACGTGGAATTTTGTTTGATTTTCTATTAGTAAATTTTTTTGGCAGTTTTATTTTTATCGGCGCAGTAAAAAATAATGGTTAACTTGTGCAACAAAGTGTTTTGAGAAACATATGAAAGTAAAGGTAAATAAAATGACTGAAAGATATAGACATGCATGCTTGTATGTATATCGCTTGCCATATTGCGCATCGCAATCTACTGCACGTAGTAATAGTTAGTTTCCAGAGTAAATAATTGCCTAATGTACAAATTTCAGCTTTGATTGCCATTAAGCAATCAACGAGATTGGACAGAGTTCCTTTTGAACCTATTTACTGGAAAATCGACCTAGAAGCACGATCAAAGAGCAATGGGCCTCGGTACGCGTTTGTGTTCTGAACGAAGGAAGTAGATGTGGCCAACGTTTGATCAGCCATCGATATACAATTTCCATTCGGCTCGTCATTGTTTCGACAAACTAATAGGATAATGACTATCGATCGAGAGAGACATTCGGATTTATGCTTTATTTCAACCGGACCGTATCCAGATGTCTTCAGTCTATGTCCAAGATGGCTGATTTTATTAGCGCAATGGACACGTGAATCATCAATGAATAAAGCATCGACGTAACTACAAACGTGTTTGCAAGGTTTTACAATTTTTTTATGATACTATTTCGAATTGTCGAGATATGGAGTTAATGGACATTTCAGTGACACTTTCTCTTATTAAAATTCTAAAGGATTGCATTCATCGTTGGGAAGTATAATTGTGCCTAAATATACCATGTTTTTCTATATACTTATCCTGGCAAAATTCTGGAATAAAATATCTCTAGTTGCTATACTGTCTCGTTGGCAAACTCTTTTACGATGAGATGTATCCCTGTAGTCTAACGAATATTGTCTTAAGACCGTGATAGTGCACGTAGAGCCGAGCTCAGTAACGGTGTTACTCGCTGGAGAATTATCCATAGAGAACGTTTGGTATCTCTTTCGCGACAACTTTACTTTCGCGGGATTCTATAAGCACGTTGTAAAGCCTATCGTTGGCGAACACGGACGCGTGTACCAATATGTTTGCACAAGTTGTTTAATTTTTCTTTGAGAAGTTCGATCGTTTCTCAGAAGAGAACTTGTCTCTGGCTCTCGTATCGCGGCACTTGTCTCGCGACAATAAGTATTCGTATTTCCATTTGGCTGTCCAACACTTAACGAGCGTAGAACGTTATCGAGCTCCGGAGGAGCCGTATGAATATCTGACTTCTGCAGAAACTATTCACATGATATCCTCTTGTCAGTACATTATAGCGAACCATCGGGTAATTACTAAATGAGGACCTTGCTCGGAGGATATGCTGTTTCTCCGAAAGACGGCTCAGGTATTAAGGAGAAGTCGAGCTTGAAAGTTTCACGAGCAAGAACGCGGCGGTTGATTCGCGGTGGTGATAGTGTATGCATGGTGTCGAAAGCTGGATAACGGCAGTACGGACGTTGCATGTAATGTTTCGTGCATTGTGCCAGATCAGTACGATAATAATCGTCCGGAGTAGACTGGCAGGCAAGCAGTCCAATGGCAAGCAAAACGCAAGCAGCAGCAGCAGCAACGACGAGCTATTCGTTTGGTTCGTTCGTCGGGTGAAGGACCCAGTCTCTCTTTCTCTTCGTCTCTGTCTGTCCATCCGCCCCCCCCCCCTTTCTCACTCACTCTCTCTCTCTCTTTCTCTCTCTGCATCTCTCCCACGTTCCCCTTCTACGGGAAATGATCGTTTTCTCTATCTAGTCTGCGTGTGTTTCTCTCGATTCCCTTTCTTTCTTCCTCCTCGTTATCCGTCCGTCCCCACTGCAGACCCATCCCCTTGTCGCCTATCTGCCTCCAGTCATCCTCGCCCTCTCCCCTCAGCACCCCACCAGTTCGTCCTCCATCACCAGCCATCTCTGCAATTCTACTGCCGCAGTCCATACACATCAAACGATACCACCTGGTTTCTCAAATTGCGACGTCCACCGGATCCAAATGAAATTACACGCAATCCTGCCTCAGACCCAGACTCTCTTGGGAGTGAGAACGGGATTTTAGACACGTTCAAACTGCCATCGAAGATTTTTCATGGTTTTCATGATTTCAGTTGCCACTGCCTGTTACATCTCATTCGAGGAGTCCGTGTCCGCAGCGTTCGTTGCCAACATTCAGAATGTACTTGTCGGTTGTTGCCGCAAGATATAAATCGAAAATAACATCGGTATCCTGTAATTGAAATAACTCTGCGTTTGATTAATTAATAGCTTTAATAAGGTCAACATTTAGATAAAACTTCCTTCCGCCTTCGTTGCATTTATGTATATCAGCCATCATTCGCTATCTACAATCGCATTCAAGCTTATTGGTTTCTTTTGAAATTCTTTTTAAAGTGGATCTCTAATATTCTATACATACTTTTTGTAGTCACTCGACGTTTCTGGGTAGACAGCGTGGTCGTGAAGTTTTATCGTTAAATGAATTCAGTTGCACGGATGAATAAGGCCTTAAAGTCTTGATAGTCGCGTGCTGCATTAACGAGAAAAAGAATTCCTTTGTATGAAACCGGTTCAAGTTTGTAAACGAAAAATCCCGTCAGGCCGATTGGCTGATTTATTAATTGATATTCAATGAAAACGTTTTGACTCCCCATGACTCTTTAAAGAGCCTCCTCCCCTCCATCCTCTCTTCTCTTTGTGTCAAAAGGAGCTTTATATTATTTGCTCGTCCATCGCTTACATTTCCATTTACCTCCGATCTCGAAACACTTTAAAAGCTCTCCGATAATTGGACGCACGATCTTTCCCAAGATATGGAAAGGGTAAAGTAATACCAAAACGATGATACTACTTTGCGAGTACTACTTTGCGAGCGTTGCAATTTCTATGAGACAAGAAAGAGACTGGCGCCGGGCGCCTCCATTGCACAAGATCGTGTAATAATGCAACTAAAGACTAGATGCATATACATATTACGTACGTATACTGCAGAGTCTTCGGAACATTCAGGCATTAGTGCCGGGACGAAACGAAACCCTCGAGTATGCGCGTTCCGCTGCAACAATTTCCTTGATCGATAGTTTTGCCAACAAATAGTTTTGCCGACACCTTCCTGTTCACGTGGAAGTGAAAATTCAAGTAAATGCTCGTTTCTCGGAAATCATTATTTCTAATGGAAAAGACTAGCGAAATTTACATCTAAAGATTTGACATTTGACCTTATGAAAATCAATTGGGAGATCATTGGCTCGATTGAAATTATTTTAAACGTAGTTGCGGTTTGCGGTGAGGTGGAAGTTAGGTTCCGGTGCGCGAGGGTGTTTCACGATTTCGGCGGGGAGGTTGGAGCGCTAAATTTTGATAGATCCCACGGGTCCGTGGTCCCGCGATACTTAGACATTCGTAGAGACAGGGCCGTGAGTCGCACGCACGGATAAAGGATCGACCGTAGCGATTCCGACAGGAATTCCCGATGAGATGGGCGGAAAGTACAAAGGTTCGACGCGCTTCGGCGGTTCTCGGTACGTCGGGCTTCCGGTCGAATTCGGCTAGCTCCGATCGGCCTCGTGTGTACTCGTCTAGGATCGGGCTGCATAGTGGGGTCTACATCGTGCAGGATGGGTAGTAGCGGCGCACCGCGAGACCGGCAGTTTTGCGCCCCGTGCAACGGCCAATCGGCCAGTTCGTCGCCGGCTGTTCGTGAAAGAGGTATTTTCACATATCGTTCTGCGTTTGCTCTCCGATCGGAGAACCTTCTGCATCGCCGTCCACCGATTCTGCCTTCGCTAGTTTCTCTCTATTTGTTGCCTGTCTGTCTCGCGTACTTTCTCGATTTTCACATTGCTCCTTTCTTTCCGTAGTGTACGGTTCTTTGTTTCCTTTTGTCTCGTTGTTTCGTCAGATAATCAGATCTACGTCAGTTCCCTTTCTCAACGTGTTTCACGCGATTGACGAACATCTTCGAATGTCTCTCTCTTCAATCATGGATCCGTAAGTGCGTATCGTATCATTCGTTGCCACGTATGTCGGTATGCGAGCGAAATGTCGAGTGTGTTTGGTGACGTGTTAAAACGCGGCCATTTCCACCGGTCGTGAACGAGATAGAGAGCATGTTGCGTGAGATAGAGAGTGTGTGAGAGAGAGAGAGAGAAAGAGAGTATGCGTACAAAAGGAATGGAAAGAGAGAGAAAGTTTAAAAGACATTGATACCTTTATATAAGTTCATAACTTGGAATTTGCAAATTCATCGTCAAATCCACTGTGATCGCGGTTTACTTCGATGATTTTATTTCTGTTGCCACGCGCTTTCTTTCAATTCTCTTCTTTTCTTCTGCTTTTTCTTCTCTTTGTACTTCTCTTATTCTTGTGTACTAGTAACATGAACGTTAGAAAGCGATTGAGAGAAAAAACGAAGATGGTCGGTTATAATACATTCGGGTGCTGGAGGGTTAATTCGATGGGGAGTTCCTCGAATTCCGCATATGGTGTAGTTAAGGAGAACAGAAAAGAGAGATGACAATGAGAGGAAAGCATAACGAGGAGATGGATCTTTTAGTATCGGGGACATATAAGTCGCGTTTAAAGTAATTTGGACCCGCGACTGTCACGCGTGCCGGCTTATGCCGGTTCACACCGCATTCCGGCCAAGCTTCACGAAACGAAGGCAAATCATTCGATATCGAAATCTTCAGAAATAACAACAGTGATTCAACGGTTGTTTTTTTTGGTGATGCTCACCGGAATTCGAAAGAAGAGATATGGCGATCGATGTGGCGAAAAGAAACGAGGAAACGTTCCGTAATAGTGGTGTGCCGCTGGCTAACCTGCCGGCTAACCTTGTTCACCGGAAGAGACAAAACACGTGCACGCCAGCCAGGTAAATTGTTCGCTTGTTTTCACTCGTTTAATTGTTACCAGTCTTCGTGGTTCTCCGATATTACCCCTTCCGATAGTACATATACAGTAGATCACGAATTGGTTGGATATTTAAGAAACTAACTTGGAACGATTAAACGCGATCGTATTATTATTTTTAGATTATACTTTTTCAAAGAAATCTCGATTTTCTCGTTACGTTAAGAAATGAATTATTGTTCTATTTGTCGTTCCCCTTCGTGTATACGACGGATCGGATCGTCATTTATTTTTAGAATTAACGACGTTACATTGATCCGCGTTGAGACTTGTAAGCTCGTTTCTTTTATTTGTTCCCACATCACTTCCGGTAGAGAAAAAAAAATTGTTTTTTTATTTTAGAATTAAAAATGCTATTCGATCATAATTTTATAGAGAAAGAAAATAACATGCAAAAAGGCGACTATACTACGCGTACAAAAGACTATTCTACTACACGATTATTTGCCATACCACTTAACGATCGTTTCCTCTTAACACTACTCCCCTTTGCCATTCGTTGAAAATTTGAACCATCCGTGTTCTTCGTTCTAACGTACATATGTACACAATACGTATACATATGTACAGCACGAATATTATATTGATTTTACTATTTTCTACTTAGCAAAAAAGCAAAAAAACTTGAAGAAAAATGTAAGACAGAGTTTTTTCGTCTATATCAACTTGTTTTTACTCCAAGTTTTATGTTTTTGGCTATGTATCTTTTTTTGCATGCTGACCTGGATAATCATTAAAGGTCGTACGTGATAAATACGAATTCAAATCTCGGTAAACTTATTTAAAATATATTTGTTAAAGTATATCAATTTTTGAAAAGTTTGAGACTATAATGTATTAAAATTCATGCGCGACGGGAAAGTATTTATTCGTCCCGAATTTTATTAACGAATATTAATTTTAATTTAAAGGACAATAAAATTCTTTTTGGTAACACGAAAGCGCATGTGCTTTTCATCTCCGTTTTCCATTATTACGATTATTGTGATCATTTTTTTTTTAATTAACGAAAATCTTTAATCTTAAACGTTATTTTAATTTTAAATTTAATGTTATTTTTTTATTCGCTACTTTTCTTGGGTTGTTGAAAATTTCGATTTTTTAATCTTGTCATAATGTTAAATGTTCCTTGTTAAAACAGGAATAATTGATAATTTGTTTCTATTATAACAATGTTATTGCAGGTGTCAATACTTGATAGCATATTTCTTTTCTCAAACCATATAACTTAACACGCTTATACGTCGTCATCGAATTTTTTAATATTTGTACTTAATTATTTATTTTCGTTCAAGCTAGCATTAGGAACACTGGATCGTTCGAATTGAAAACGAAAAAAATGTTTTTGGTGTGTGTGGTTAGTGAACACATTTACGTTACTTATCGAATTCGTAAGAAATTATTCGTACATCAGTTGAACTTTGAAAGTTTTATAAGCATAAACCGTCGAATAAAAAATAAAAAATAATTTTAATTAAGTAATTTGATCTCATGCTACAAAACCATAGTTCTGTGTGCGTTTCGACGACTTCCATATAAGGAACATTTGATTCGACGTCCCTACTAATCATGCGTCTTACTTACGTCATTATCAAAGTTAAACTTTAAATAACTCTTTGAATCTTCTCGTTTATCTCTTTTTTTGTTCGGTAATTTTATACTGGCATAGTATTAAAAAAGATTATTTTATCCCGTATACTTTGTACCTTTATAAATAATTTTTCGTGTTCGAAATTTTATTTTATTAATTTTTTTTTTTTACGAGAAAGATCGGTAGAACTTCACGAACGAAATCGCCAAGGAAAAGCAAAGGAAAAACGAGAAACGTAGTGACCCGTATTGATGTGTTGGCAAATCAAAAACTAGAAACGGAGAGTAGTAGCCAGTGAAAAAAAAAGCAAGCAGGAAAGCAGCCGGCGACCGACAGCCGGCGAGTCAGTCATGTGGGCCGAGAGAATTTGCCGGTTCGAAGGCGTGCGTTCGGTACCGGGACGGACGACCTCGTGGTATATACCCGTACACCAACGATACCTGTCGTTCATGTATTAGTGCGTAGAGAGACTCGCGCGTGAGATCTTTCTTTCTCTCTCTATCTCTGACGATTACTCGAAAAGGCCTCTTATACATGTGCGTGCTGATGTCAACGCCTGGTGGGTCGCCGTGCCCGACGCTGGTTTTATTTAATCACGCTGCTCTGCCCGGCTGCCGGCAGGCCTGTTGCTAGGCACCCTTCTCCGTCCTACCTCCTACCTCCTTCCCTCGAACGCGGGGCCCTCCGCGACGTGCCCCGCCCCTGTCTGCACCCCCCTCCACTTGCTCGTTTCCCGAACATTGCCATCTCTGTCTGTCTGTCTGTCTGTCTTTCTTTCTGTTTGTCCGTCGGTCGGTTTGTCTGTCCTGTCTATTTGTATGTCTGCCTCTGTATATATCCTTATTCGCCTTTTTTTCCCTTTTCTACGCTAATGTCCACCTCGTTCCTTACTGTGATTCTCTTCCATGTTTCACACATTACTGGACACACTAAGCCGTGGTCATCGGGAAATTTTTCTTTCACTTCGTGATGAATTTTTCCTCCTGTTCATTTGTCTCTCCTTTTTTCAATTTGTGCATGTGTGTTGCTCTCCTGACCAGTATGCATCTGCTTTCGACATTCGCGGTTTGCCGATTCGTGGTTTCAGTGAGATTGCTGATCCCAGGGTTTCCAATTGCCCTCTCGTACCGCATTGCCGCGGATTCTCGTTTCCATAGCGGAGTATTTAACTGAACCCGAGCATGCTTCTTTTTGAGACTACTTACCTACTCTGTTTTATTTGGGATAAAAGTCATGCAGCTTTTGTAACAACCATTTTTATGTTATCTCTCGCTATTTTCGCCTTCGTCTAATACCCAGATGTTGATCCTTTTCTGTCCTTATCCTTGTGAAGTTATTCAAATAGGCATTGCAGGAGCCAATTGAGCTCCGAGTATTGGTATCAAAAGCTCGTCCAGATGTAACTTTTCTAAGAATGCAGGACAACGATATACTGCACGACCAGACTAATACGTTATTTCTTTGTTCGAATTACATTCCCTCTCGTGTGTGTCTGTAACTACCGACGCTATCAGGATGCGCGTAGATGGAACGAGTTTTCTGTGAACGTTCAATCGAAACAACGTTGCTACTACGTTTTAGAATTTGTCCATCTTGTAATTATTGTATAGAGGTTTTAAAATCTCGCAGGGGCGGTATTTTTTCATGCAAAAGAATCTCGCATCCAAAGATTAGACGACAATTTTTAAAAACAAGATAAGCAAGTCGCCGGCATCGCCTTATATATTTTTCTGAGGTCTCGATAGGCGCGTAGTATGTACATGGTCTGAACAAAACGAACGGAAATGGTATGCGAATCTCGATGACGTCAACCATCGCAGTGTAAGAAGAAAGGAGGATACATGTGCAGAAAGAGAGAGGACGATGATCTGAAGTGGGGGTAGCGGTAGTAGAGAAGAAAGAAAGGATAGACAACGAAAAAGAGAGAGAGAGAGAGAGACGAGAGGATAGGTTAATTTAAAGTGAAGGAGAAGGAAGAAGGAAAGAAAGCAAGGAAAGCAAGGAAGAAGGATTTCTAAATCTTCTTTTTCTCGCAGTCGATTTTGCGTAGACGTCCTTGAAATTCGTGAGATCGGAGAACAATCAGCTATGGGCGTCCGTCCGTGCAGGATGGTCCAGTGGCGCCGACTAGTCTCGATTGCGCCCCTCCATATCCATCTCGTGCTTCGTTAAGGACCCCACCATACCAGGGGGAAAAGAGGCAGGTTTAGTTTAAGGTCTTCTCCGTCGTTTGCTATCTGCTCTTGCTGGCTATCGTTGAACCATTCCGACCGTCAAGGACAGTTCGGTTCAGTGTCGGGTAAAGAGGGTCAGGCACGTAGACGAAAACTTTCAAGGGCAGACGGGACCCCTCGCTTCTCGCTGTCGCGTAAATTCTCTACCTCGGCTGTGCGGATCGTTTGTCCGCGCGCGCGTTTGCCTGTGTGTGTGTGTATGTGTGTAATGTCTCTCTCCTCTCCTCGTCGTCAGTGTGAGAGTCTGGATTCGGAGCCATCGCGCCACGCTGGATTCTCTTTCGGGTGAATCGTTTCTTCGGCTGACTCATCGTCTCGAAATTAACCGATTTCGTACATCGGTTGGGATGTAATTAGAGACACGACTCGCTCGGCGAATGTCTTGCTCGCATCCCTACTGTGTAACGAATCGAACTGCAATGGTCACAGTGAGAAAATTATTCTCGTCTCTGCTACTATATGTACTATGGTCATCGACTTCGAATCTGTTCTAGATGTAAGTACAAACGCGTTTATTGAGGGATTATTCCGAGACTCCAAAGCAAGAAGCACGTTTCCTCTATTTTAATATTGGCACTGCTTCGTAGCTATCGTGGTTTGTCAATATCTCATCAGACATAATTCTCTTAAGTTTAATACGCGATGATTCTTGTAGGAACTGAAGAAGGAATAGAGAAAGACGGATGAACGATAAAACTGATTGAGACCATCCTCTTAAATATCACTTCTCTTCATTTAACGTCTCTGCGTGATTTGCCTGTTTTTAATTTATTTTCGACGTATACTTCATTTTACTGTCTCAAAAGAAATAAGAATAATCGTCGATTCACGATGTGAATTTCGCTCGAAACAACCTCTTGAGCAACGGCTGATCGTTCCTGCCATATTTGAGGGGAGAGACCCGTAGGTTGAAAGAAGCCTGAGAGAAACACACGAGAACGACGTGTTGCACGGAAAGAAGAAGCACCAGAGGAGGAGGACGTCTATTTTTAACTTTCTGCTAACATTTTTTCCTCTCTTTCTTGACGTGTTCTGAAACACACGTATACACCCCTTCTATTTGAATAGCAACAATACGTCATCTACATTATCTCTCGGAATGTTTACTTGAATAATTAAAATATCAATTGTGAGTTC